TCGCTTCAGAAATTCCTCACATGTAGGGCAGGGAATAATATTTCCTCTGTGCCACTTCTCCACTTGAACTCCGATCTTGTGGTTGTCTCTGACGTCTGAGGCAGTTTTTCACGAAGCTGATCGGATATCCGTTAGATCGGAATAATTGGTATAAGTAGGCTAGTTCTCTCTTGAGTAGATACTGGCTGCCACAATACCGAAAAGCGCTGGACGCTGGTTGCGAGATTGCCATCATTCAATCTTTGTACACTGACGTCAAGAAAAGGGAGGATGTCGCCTGTTGCTTCTTCGCGTGTGAATTGTATGGCGGGGAAGACACCGTTAAGACTCTGGTGCAGTCGTTCAACTTCGCAGTTTTTTATGACTACGAAGTATCATCTACGTAGCGGAGCCACATCTTTGTTTTGATGGCTTGAATAACAATTTATTCTAGTCTTTGTAAGACTAGTTCGGCGAGTAGGCCCGATATCTGTGAACCCATGGTGGTGCCCTTGACCTGCTGGTAATACTTGCCATCGAATTGACAATAGTTCTTAAGGCAGAGCCCAAGCATGTCTAAAACGTGCTCTGTTGGAATGCCAATTGGAGTTTCCTCTAGGCGTCGAGCTACGCTCTCAATGGCCAAGGTATGCGGTATTGAGGAAAATAGAGCAACTTCATCAAACGATAAAATGCATTCATCAGGGCTTACAGTAAGGCCTTGAATCCTCTGAAGGAAAGCATGAGAGTTGTTGATGCTGTACTGCCATCCATTCATAAGGTGCTTTAGGTGCTTGTACAGCCACTTGGCAAGGTTATATGTAGGCGATCCAATGAGCGGTACTATGATCCTCAACGGTGCACCTACTTTGTGTACCTTTGGGAGGCCATAAGCATGTGCGATACGAGTGTCGTTAGGAGTCAGAAATTTGGAGTCCGCGGGGTTTATGAGCTTTTTACGAGTGAGCTCGTTCATCTTCTTCTTTATAGATGCGGCCTGCTTTTTCGTCGGATCCTCAGCAATTGGGGTATAGGCATGTCTGTCATTAAAGGCTTGGTTGGCCTTATTGACATAGTCAGTCTTGTCCATAATGACAGTAGCACCACCTTTGTCAGCAGATACAACAACAATAGTGTCGTCTGACCTCAGGGATCGTAATCCCTTCTCCTCTTCCATCGGCAAGGTTTGCTGGTGTCTTCTTTTCCGGAGGAGGCCGGTCGCACAGTTGCGTATGTCTGCACGCATATCTTCAGGGATGGATGAGGTTAGTAGGAGGGATTCCAGGTTCGCTAAGAAGTTTGTAGGCGCAGCATCGACATGACTAAACCGTATTCCTTTAGACAATAGGCTTGATTCGGCGGGTGTGAGAATCCTTTTCGAAAGGTTGACAACTCTCACAGATATGTTACTGTCATTGGTAGGACAAAGGAGAGCTTGGAGCTTCTCTTGAAGATCGGCCCGCTTCTTCATACGCGCATGTTTGGCGGTGGCATTTATGCGCTGCAGAAAATTTTCGAAAATTTCTTCAGACAGGGCTGAAACACACCGGCTCTTTAGGTCAGAGATTATCGCCTCAAATCGCTGAAGACGATGGTGGACGTCAGATATAATCGCACTCAAAACACGGAATTCATATTTGCGAGCGAATGACTTCCCAGCCTCATTGGGCAGTGTGGGTTTGAAGCGAAGATACTTCGGAAGAACGCCATGATCGCGACAGTGGTGCAGGAAACTCAACTGCTCAAAGGTTGTCGCCTCTCTCTGCGCGAACTTCTCCAAGGTGAAATCATACGCGACAGTCAACCTGGTAAAACAGATCTGAATGATATGCTAACCCTTACTGCTAGGAATGTTCCCGAGACAGCTTAATCAAGCCATCTTCTTAGGAGTTCACTTGCAGCACGTCTTTGGAAAGGGACTTTCACGAACAACGTTTTCTTTCCGGCGGTCAATGTGGTAGGATTTTCAGGTCGTTCGGCAAGGTTATTTGCAATGAACCTGTCCGGATACCCGTTTTTAGGAAGCAATCCTGGATTTTTCTGAGATCCTCCTCGATACTATCTGTTGTACAACTTTTTCTAACTCTTTGTACCAAAAAACCTGATTTAACTTCGTTTTTGTTGGTGAAGTAGGAAACAAGAAAGTTTCGTATATTGTCCAGTGATTCATTTCGAATTGGTTTTTAAGCGATTGCTATATGTCTCGGTATGCATTGATCCTAACGCTATCTCAAACACTTGCTGGATCAACTCACGATTGATGTGTTGTATTTTGCACGTTTCACGCACTCACTCCATCAATATTCGCCTTTATAGTAGTTTTGGTGTGTATTTTGGAGTTTTCGAGAGCTTTTTAAACTATTCTCACCAAGTAGTTCGTTTAGCAGCTCAGGTCTTTCGCAATTATAACAGTAAGTGATGGCAGGAAGTTGAAAGTTTTCCTTAAACTCGTCATCAACCGCGTTTACTTTTACTGGAGGACGCTTGCGGTGGGGAATGGACGAAGGAAAAGTCCTCTGTGCAAAAAGCCTACGCCGTGAAAGGTAATCCCGCTGTAGTTCATTCTCTGCTATTATGCAGTTGGTAGGGCTGATGCCACTTACCTGTGCACTAATACGCCACGAATACGAATGCATCTTCTGTCTTAAATGTAGTCAAAGACGGTAAATTGTCAGTAACCTCCGTAAACTAACTCACAGCCTAGACATTGGAAATTAGGTCAGACATACTTTGGACTGAAGCCATGAACCTTGCCACGTCAAACTGGCAGTCGGTTTGCAGGTCGATTATACTGACCCTGCATATCTCAGACTTGCCTTATAAGCGACACCAAGTGTGGATTCTTCTTGGAAGAAGGACAAATCACACTGTCTTAAAGCGATTATCAGTGACAGTGGGCGTTCAAGTATGGGCGGTTAAGTGGTTGTGTTTGTAATGAAAAACGGTGAACTCTACTTTACATTGCAGTGGTCTTAATAGCTAAACACGCTCAGCACTTGTAAAGCATCTAGCTGATGACAAGTGACGATCAATTAAATTGCCCGCATGAACAGTGGCTCTAGTCAGCAAGCGAGTCCTAAAACTATACAGTTAGACTTAAATCACTGTAGCACTACTTAAAAGTCCCTGCATCAACTATAAAATACGCATCAATATCAGTAGAATTCAACTACTGACTTACTTCTGTAGCTGTTTGTGGGTTCATGGAAACCCCCTCATGACTCAAAACCAGACCTAATACACCAAACCATAAAGATTAATGCACAGTCAATCCCCGCAATCCAGTTGCCACCTGTGAGAAATGTTGACGCGATGATGTTTGTAAATATACACTCCAAACGCAATTTTTTACTTTCCAAAGAATCTGATTACGCCTGGACCACCAAGGATTCCCTCCAGCTGCCAAGGGACTGTAAGCAGTTCTTGGCATTTTAAAGATTCGAAAAGAATATGAATGAATCAACCTGAATGGTTCTCAGGCGAGGTTGACGAAAGTCTCACAGAAAACCAATAAAAAACAGGCAAGAGCGGAGACATTTATCATGCGCTTTATTGTTGTCTGCGTGCCAGGAAACACGCAGCTCAGCAGCACACATTAAGTCTTGCAGAGAACGCTCCTGTCCATAAGAGAGTGTTTTGGCAAACACCAGAGGACATCCAATCGCCTTTCTTGCATTGCATTGCAGCTTCTTGACAAATCGTTTTTAAACGGAATTCCTGCTCAACATTTCCCCGTACAATGCTCGACCTAGGTTGGGGCATTTTTGTCCGTTTCGACGGTATGTTGGCGCCGATGCCCACATTTAATTTCTGAGCGGAATTACGATTAATCGGCACCCGGCCACATACACCAGTAATACTTAATTCATACATACGGACCACCCTTATTAGTTAAATGTGTTAGGAGAAACCATAATCAGTTAATCATAATTACACTGGTGCCATATCATAGGGCTCAGAAAGCAGGCCAATGCATCAAACAAACCACATGAATAAAACTGCATGTATTCTAGGTAAATTAATGCTTAAACCATGTTTGTAAGGTAAAGAAAATATAAATAATATATATGTATTTTTAGATGAGACATAATTACTCGATCTGCCATCAGTCATGTCTGCAGAGTATGAGGCATGTCAATACAAAGATGGAGTAGCTAAGACAACACAGACAGAACAGGAGTAAAAACTACTCATAACGTTGAATATCCTGCAAGACATAATTTCATATGCCATACGGCTGCGTAAACAGCCAAATAATCGATCGTTTTTCCTCAGGTGACAGATAATTTTAAGTTAGCGTTTGGCATTCGCGCTGTTGGCGATGATTTTGTCAAATCGAACGGATTTTAATTGATTTAAGACAAATTTTAAAACGCCCTTCCTGCATGCGTAGTGTCAACAGTGAGTCCCAAGGCACAACGTGATGAGCAAATCCAATCGCAGCGATATAGCGATGGCCTGCGCTACAGTAGTTGAAAACATCTGACTTAACAACGCTCGATGGCTAGATCGTCTTACGCACCACCAAAAAATAAACAGGTAAGAGAAGAAGAATCAATCATGAGAATTATTGTTGTCTGCGTGGCAGAAAAGAGCCAGCTTGGCAGCACATGGTAAGTCTTTCAGAAACTGCTGGTGTACAATAAAGACAGTATTTTGCGAACATCAGAGGACACCCGTTCGTCTTTCGTGCAGGACATTGTAACTTCTTGACAAAACGTTTTTGAGCTAAACATCTGACCAAGACTAGCTCATAAAAAGTGCGGCCCAATAAATGTCATAAAATCTGTGGGCATTTTGTAATATACATTTACTTATTTTAAAAGGATGCGGCATGGAAAGCGTTGCTATTAGTGATATTGAATGTGCTTCCCGATGCACAATTTTGCGGACTGATAATTTGACGAACCCTTTTTACTTTAAGTAGCTGGGCAAAGCAAGGTTCACAAAACCCGTATTTCAAGACATTGTGTTCTCTATAAATGCTCCTGTGAACTATATTGTTAAAGAGGACGGCAAGAACGGAACAGGCGACAGGTGTTTCGGTTAACAGTCAATAAACAACCCTAACTGTAGATCGTGTGCAATATACTCTACGTACGCGCAGCGGATCAAAATTTTGACAACAAGTACTCATTCGGTACAAAGATCCTGACTCTCGCCTGGTATTATTCTATCAGACATGACCATACGGTGCGTATTTATGACTCTAAGTTACAGTGATAACTGAAATAAATTATGTAATAAATGTATAAAACGATCTAAATCTGATCATCTGAGTGCTCTTAAACAAATTACTAGCTAATTTTGCTTATAACGGACAAACAAGGAGTTATTATAAATTTGTTAGGCATTTTCCTCAAATACCAGTCGCCTCGCGCTTGCAGCGCAAACTCGGAACTGTAATCTGTATTAGGAGTGTTAGGAGCAGTATACGTAAAATGCTAGCAACGTTTGTAGGGTATATTAACCGCATCACCATACATCATTTGAACGTAGCAACGCCTGAGTTTAATTCAGGCCTGCGCTGGTGAAAGCTTCAGTTTTTACCTGATCCATACAGTAATTCTCCATTTCAACCTCAAGTCAATATTTGCGAAAGAAAATCGAGTCTTTGTCTTCTAACGTATAAGTGTTAAATTGGCTGGATATTGAGTGACATCGGAAAACACGTCAGTCCAAAAGACCTACTAACACACAGAAATATCACTATGTTTATGGACTTTCAGACCATCTATCTTGCGTTTCCCAGAAAGTTTTCCTTTTACTGCATCATTAATCAGGTTGCAGTAAAGCAACCCTATATGCGAAAAACACTATACAGTAGATGTGCTAACTCATGAAATGTCAACCAAAATTTCGAAATGCGTTCTCGTTTCGAAAAGATAAATTAAGCAGTGTTGTAAAACTAATCATGATGCAGCATAAATCTATATGAACCAGTTACCTCAGGGTGTCGGCTTTCGAAAGAACTTATTTTCGGCCGCAAGCAAGATCTATACTCTGCAAAAAATGACTACTTATGTAGTATGCAATTTTCTCATTGATTTTCGATGCCCTTGAAAAGCCAATTATATTTCATGGAAAACATGCATAAACATATTCATTCTTTTAATTATTTGGTATAAAGTCACGTCTTCTTCCAATTTCATACTCAAAAGAAGAGTAAAATTCGGTTTTAAAAAACTTTTCTAATTCCCGATTAATTTTGAACTCGACCTGCTGTTACACTTGCATTCAGGGTTTAAAATCTACAAGCCGTGTATTTTCTTGTATGGATAACCATATATTTCTCTAAGGTATTAAGATGAGATTATAAAGGGTTCATAAAATTTAGCAGTGGATTTGAGCAATATTGTTAACTTTACAAGCCACATTCGTAAATGCAGATACATGTCGTTTCATGAACGGCCATTTAACGGTATTAACAAATCTCACAATTAGAAACCTTTTTAAAACCGAATTATACTC